CTAAAATTAAAAACCCTGACCTTAAGAACTGAATCAACAATAAGATATAAGATATAAAGATATATCATACACACACGGTTAGGATTAAATCACATATTTCATCTGCCCAAGCAGGTGAAAAGTAATTATTACAAGTCAGCAGTTAATACAGTTGCACAGGTGAGACTAATAAAGTGTTGAACCCCGTCACAAAACTTTGTAAGAAGATATGTTACAGTTATGGTAATTAAAAGATAGATGAAGGGGATACAATTATGAGAGGAGTCAGGAATAAGAACTGCCATCTTTCGTCGTTTGGATGACAAAAAAAGCAGTTGCAACTTGGAAAACGGGTCAAAATTAAGTGATAATGCAAACTTTAACAACATTTTGTTGTATAGTTATACTAGAAGAGTATGTACATAATTTGGAAGCGCCTTCAGAACATCTTGTTTTTGAAGTCCGGTGAATTATTGTCAGTTTTTCAGCTTTCCCAGCTGTGATAAACCATCCTGTAAATGTGATAAACCCACTGATGTTACCTGCCCAGCCCCAAGAGGGTTGGCAGCCGTTAGACAGTTAAACATCGGTTTCTCAAGCTATAGTTGTTCTCTTTTATGCAACTTTATACTAACACTCCACTACATCTCAGAGAGACATTTGTCTGACAGCTTTAGTTACTTAGTTACTTTTCAGATTAAAGTACAATTATGTTATCATAGCCACCCTCTCCTGGGAAAACTACGTAAATTACTTTCAAAGGTTTTTTTTTTCTGATAACCTGAAGGATTAAGTGTTCCTTTATGTGTTGAGAAAGTTATCCTACATATTCAGCTAAATGAAAATATATTTTTAAATCTCTTGGATTAGCTGGAAAGTGAGCTCAAAACTGTTGTAATATCACACTGTAGTAATATCACACTGTAAAACAGAGACTATTTTCTGCATAATAAGTAGGCTACTTTTAATTAGGATTTTGAATGCATGTATTTCACTTGTAGTGAAGTATTTTCACAATATAGTATTGCTACTTTTACATAAGTAAAGAATCTGAATACTTCTTCCACCACTGACTAACACCATGTTAAAGACAAAATTAGGGAAAATGTCATTAGCTCCTATAATGATAGCTGTATTACATCAGAATATGAACGATACCATTAATATTTACAGTGTGTTTTACCTAATGATTTCAAATAGGTGAAGGTCATTTAAAAAAATATACTCCATACTAGACCAGACTCTGATTTATGATTTATTAAAGCAAAGCCAGTCTTTAAAGAGAAAAACACACATTTATTCAAAGTCAAACCCTTTCTGAACAGGCAGCAGATCTCAGAGTAGGTTAAAAATATCACAGCTTAATGTAACAGTTATTTGACCACTTTAATCTTGATAACTTTGGTATTTTAAATTCTTGCATACAGACGCAGCTGCAAATACAGATAAGTGGATAATAAGCTGCCACCTTTGTGATCTCTTGCTGATGTTGCCAACTTGCCACCGATATTCACGTTTACCCAAGCAGCATCTCAGAGCTCGAGTTAAACTTTAGACGGATTTGTTTCTAGAGGATGTGAGACAACCTTGTCAGCTTGTCTCTTTTTCTGCTGGTTGTAGCTTTGGAGGAGAGACTGTGGTGGAAAATAGTTCGTTTTGCTTCAAGGAAGTTCCAACTTCTGCTGAACTTTCAGACTGGCCCTCGGGGTTTGACGCTTGAGGTACAAGCTCCGCATCTCGGCCCTCTGTCTGCGTAGGTAAAGCAGTCTCTGTGCTAAACTTTTCATTAACTGAAGAAGTAATGCCTGTGGAGGTCAAACTAGGGGGGAGGGTTGTCTGAGTGGGAGCTGTTTCACTGTCTGATGAATTGGTCTGGGCATGGAGATCATTCGTAGGAAGTCTTTGGAAAGGTTTGAATTTTCCTTGAACAGGAATGTGTGCTCTATCTGGTGGTGGACGATGCCAGCTTCCGGGTTCTCTTCTTCTGGAATTCTGATCAAGATTTAGCCACCTTTCATTCGATGCTTGGACGCCATGACCAAATCTTACTGTTAAATCACGGCTATAACTTCCTTGATTCTTTTTCGGGGATGTAAAATCTGCTCCCAAGAACTTTGTACATGCAGCAAAAGTAGATTGGGGCCGTATTCTGTCACCACCAGGCTTGAGATGGCGGACGTGGGCGTATACTCTTGCTTTAGACATCCCGTCACTGCTATACACCCTGTGACTCCATATTGAAGAAGACATCCGTGTGTCAACCTTTCCAGCTGAATTCCTACCAGGAGAATGTCCCTTCTCAATGGAGTCCATCTTCTTGTCTACGGGTTTTAAAACTTTCTGCAACAAGTCTGTTCTGCCACGATTAAAGCTGTTGGGGAAAACATAAGCAGGGCGATATCCACCCACCTCCGACCTGGGTGTGAGGGGTGACTCCTGTGGGTGTTTGGGTGCCTGAACAGGTTTAGTTCTGGCACGATAGATATGGGATGGAACCTGAACTGCACCTGTGGAGAATACAGAATCAGTTAGCTTGATGAATTTTCTTGCCATCAGAAAAAGTGAATGCTTTGTTTCCAGAATGGTTGTACACCACAGTACTTCGTCCTCGTAGAACTGAGGTGAAGCTGGAGCCAGATTTAAAATGGTTGAATTGGCTTTTTGGAACAGCTTGGCTATTTTGTGGTTCAGGAATAACAGGATAAGGATAACGGCCATCTGCAGAGATTCTGAAAATAGGTACTTCACTGCTCTTGTAGACTCGGTTCTTATTTTGGACACCCATTGGGGCCTGTCCTGCCTGGACACGTCGGACATAACCTATTGAGAGAGAACACATTGACAGATACTGTACAGATTTTTCTATACAACAGCCAACTAATCTAATCAGCTATGTTAAAAGCATATTAAAATGTTACTGCCTGTTAAAATTGCAAAGCGACACATCATTCAATACCTTTCTGGGCATTCTCACAATTTACATCACCGACCAGCAGCCAAAGACAAAGCCCAAACAGCCTGCAGAGAAAAGGGCAACACAGGTCGAGATCTTAAGCTCCTGAGGCACATTTAGATGATCCTAAGTGTTCAAATAGCTACAATCAAAAGAAGCATGGAACAGGACAATTTACCTGAAACAATCTGTACGGCTCATTGTTAAGCTCTTTTCAGTAGCACCAACAGTGAATCAAGGTTTGACAAACCTGTTGGAACAGGAAGCACAGACCCACAATATGAAAACTCTAAGCGGTGAGAGGCAGTTTAACTCAGCTGTTCCTCATTTTGGACTAATTGCTGCGTTGGCCATGATTGCAACACTCTGCAGGAGATAGAGGAGGCTGGATGTTTTTCTCCAAACAGTATCAGTTTGAGATAAATTCTCTTCTCTGTGTATTGATGCGCAGTATGCTGTATAGAAGCTTTTTCTTTTGGATGAAATATGCCGAAGGAAAATGCTGCAGAAATATCGGAGCAAACATTTCATATTTTGGATTAAAAAAAAAAAAGAATATGGACCCATGTACTGCCAGCTGTTAATTCTAAATATTTTGTTTTTATTTAACTGAAGAGAAAACCACTGGTTTTCAGTGACAAAGATTACTTTAGATAGATTTATTGTTTTAGCCGCCCATTAACTGAAGTTGGTTAGTTAAGAACACTCAGATAGGGACCTGCTGTCAGCTTGTATGAGAACAAAAAAAGATAAGAAAAAACAGGACCGATCAAAACTGAAGATGCAGTGTCAATGCCATTTATGAAGTACAGGGGAGGATTTGTGTCATTTACCTGGTGTTTTTATTCTTTTGCTTTAGATTTTGTCTGAAAATAAAACTGGTCTTCATTTATAAAGTAGGTAAACTTTATCTCCCAGCTAAACTGTGCATTTATGTGTAGCCAAGGTCCTGATCCTTTAAGGGAATGAATAACCTAATTGACACTTTTTAATAAGCTGACTTAAGGTTTTACCCCAATTTTTCTATGAACATCTTTATCTACTAGATCATTTTTCACACATTTTGACCATTGTAGGAAAAGTACACATGTTGGTGATATCGTTGGTTGCTCCTTTTTTATAATTTAGTGTCGCGTAAACTGTGGAAGTGATGCCAGAACGCTGAAAACAAAAACCACCATACTGTGATGTTGAAATATCTGCTGTTAAATTAGCATGATGTGTTCATGGCCTCACCAATGTATCCAAATGGTTGTTTTCATTTATTTATGTAGAAGTTCCAAAGAAAAACTGGTTCATCACACACAAATGACAACTTCTGTAGTCTTTTAGCAGCATAAATACACAGATATGATTTTGAAACTCCATTGCTTAGTCTCTAGGAAACCCTGTTGGGATCCTACAGAAAAATGCCACCATGTGAGCTGCTGCCAGGCTGCAGGTACAATAAGAGGCACGTTTGGCTGCTGTGGGTAGGAATAATTGTAACACTTTATGGAAAGGAATGAGTCCTTATCATGTCTTTAGAGCACAATAAGTATAACCACATTCAGTCACAAGAGGGCGCTGCTAGATCAAGGAGTGAAAGGACAAGTTTATTTGAATATCATCTCTCAAACACAATAATGGGTAAATACAATTTAAGTAGGAAAAGAAGTAAAAACAGAAATGAAAGAACTACAAAATAAAAAAATAAAAAAATAAGAAATCTTATTTTAGATTTGGCAAGAACTTCTGTTCATAGTATTACATTTTTCTTTAGTGATGCTGTGGTCTGTCAGTGTCTGCCTTCACTCAACATCTTTATTCTGTCTGTATATACTTCAGGCTGATTTTCACTTGGGTTTACATCATACTCTGAGTATCTGACATTGCTAGCACATGCTCTGTTTAACTAGGTTCCGAGATGATTTTAATCTTTTTAAAAAAAGAAAACAAATTAACCAAACAAGAACTAAGGGATCACAGGTTCAAATATATCATCATCATGGTTAGACCACCATTTAGCTTTAATCCCATGCAGACAAAATTCATTATCGAAAAAACCTAATTCAAATGGCACTGAATCTGCATGTCACAGATCAAATCTTAATCTAAAATTAACAAACGCTATATATTACCTGTAATACAGCATAGCATAGACACTGTGTATATACATGCAATATATTCTGCTCAGATGTAGTATAGCACAGATACAGACACAATATTAATAGTGATACAAAACACAGTTAAATATTTATAATAATTTAATGAAAACATGTTGAAGCCAAAAAGACATTTTAATCTTGTGTAGATTAAACTTTCAAAACAACGTTAAGGCAGTTGTTCAGTGCATTGGTTGGTGTACATCAAAAAGCCTGGCAACAGTTCCCTGATGAAAATATTACAATATCATTCAAGACCAAAGAAATAAAAACCCAAATACAATTTCAAGATTAAATATTCTGTTAGCTTCATAGGTTGTTTTCTCCAGAAAGAGTCTAGCAGATCTACCACATTCAAGTACTTGGAACACCCCTGGGTTTTCTGACAATTGCAAAATTCATGGATAAATGAATGTGAAAATCCTTTGACATGATGATGACTTGATTACTATTTGCAGCATGTAGTCGTCTCTCTCTGCAAAAAAAAAGACCAAAAAGGGTAAATAAAATGAATAGTTTGGAGCCAGAGGTCACAGATTGTCACAGTGAAATTTGGAGTCCAGATAATTAACTTTAGAACAAAATAAATCTGACTTCATGAATTGTTATGTTTTTCTGTGTACATCTTTACCACAGCCCTCCTGCTGTGTGGATCATGAATTTTTATCTTTGTGTTTGTGTGTATTCTAAGAGTGAAAGCTGCCATTTAAGCTGAAGTGTAAATGTAATATTATTCTCACCTACGTGTATTTCCTGCTCTCTCTTATTTCCCCGCACTCATGCCTAGACTGGCGATGGCTTTGTTCTCCAGGATCTCCGTCTTCTGCTCAGGTTGAAGCAGAGTGTTTGACACCATCGCTTTAGTCAGCACTGGGACGGGAATGGACATGGACGTTGTACACACTGTTGACAAGGCACCGAAGAATTTCCTGGCCAGCCACTCGCTGGGCCGACTCTCTTGCCTGTCGACCAACAAAACCCTGTTGGAGCAAAACATAAAGGTATTGATGAGTCAGAGATTGTATTTGGTTGGATCAGGTCATCTACTAGATATGCCGTACTAGAATTACTTTGATAGACTGACAAGTACAATCAATGTTTTGTATCATTTAAAGGCTGCAATCACGTTTTCTCTGGTGTGTACCAAACTGAAAAGGTTGACTTTGTTATAATTTTGTATTTGGTACATTCAAATTTCACACTACACTATTATGGTCCATCCATGACTTTAAACAGAGGTCACATGGTGTCACAAGTGCCTTGTTTACTGAATGGAGTTTTGGTAACCGGTCAGCAGCAGGGGAGGAGTAAAAGAAACTTGATTACAGTCCCTGAAAAATTACTAAAGCATAATCTATCTACAGTAATCTTGATATCAACCAAGAACACATGGATGAATCTCCTTATTTAGTTTTGTTCTGCTCAGTTTCCCTATGCATAATAAACTACTAATAAACTACTATAATCCATCCCCACATTCCCACAATATCACAAACCTAACAAAAGGCATATCTGTGCAAATATTTGTTTAAGTTAACACAGTTTAATTCTAAACTGTGGAGAACACTATACACATCTGTTGTACATCATGTATGTATTTTTTAGTTTGGAGACAATTTGTCTTGTCCCCTGCGGTAAATATAATGGTCAGTCTCATGAAATCATTGAATTAAGTATATAAGACACTCACCCTGGTCTGTAAATGGAATATCTGTCAAAACCCAGCGCCTCAATATCTGCTTCCACTTGTCCCTGGAAGAAAACCCATTTCATGTTCATCATGTCCAATGTCATCATTTATTGAGACACATGGATAAGCTTCAGTTGAGAGAAAAAAGAAGAACTTCAGTATGTAGCATGCGTTAGAGAAAGGAAACAAAATACTTTGACTTTGAGGTAGAGGAAGTTGCTGTTTTTGTCGGCTCCTCTGGAGGACTCCAGGTGGAACTGCGTGCAGCCTCCTGACTTGGCGAGCTCCGCTGATTTTAGAACATAGTCATGATCAACACGGACGAATCCGTCCTAAAAGAGAACAGAGAAGCAACAGAAAATATTATTTTGACAACACTAACAGGTGTCTGCAAAAAGCTTACCTGTAGTTAATGAAATTGAATTATTCACATGAGGAACTAGGTAATTAGAAAAAGAATCATGTTGTGAAGAAGAAATGTATATTAATTATGGCTGGACAATATTTCATGTAATGCCAAACACTTAAATAACACTTCTTCTTTGGCTTCAGAATAAAATGTATGACACTAAGTGAATAATGTAAACGGGGAATTGTAGCCTGAACAACACTGAATTTGGACAATTGCTACAATGGTGATTTTAAAACTCTAACAATATATCGGCCAATATCAATTCACATTTTTAACAAGGATCCCTTACATTAGTTTTTTAAGACTTGTGATCGATAGAAGACATTTTACAGTTAGAAATAGTTTGTTGAGCTCTGGCAAGTATGTAATAATGTTGCTGTTTAAACTACCTCAAACCTATCTTTAGCATTCTGTCCTGAATTTCCTGTTTAGTGGTCGACATCTACGGCGTTACCAATATATTTGTGATAAACTAATATTGCCAAATATATTAGCTTAGCCAAATTATGAGTTTAGCTCTATTGGAAATGTTGGGACATGGCAAAGCAATGCTACTGAGTTATTACTACGAACCAACAACCCCATCAAATCCCTACAGATATATTGTATTTTGGTACTTGGTGCTCCAGAAGGCCTACAGCAGTACAATTTTAATTAATTCACCAGTAAACACCCACATTGGAGTTATAAAGTTTAACCTACAGCCCCTGCTTTAGCTCTGGTTGTACCCAGGCAGCAGTAGCCAACATCATGGCCCTGGAAGGCAGCAGCATAATCATCAAGCTTCTCAAAGTCCACCACCTCTTGAACCTGGAGGCATAAAAAACACAGTGTCAACATGATGAATCTCAGGTAATACAGTCAGCTGACGAGAGAAATCACCCCACTAACCAGGTTTTCATACGCTTTGTCCTCAAAGGTGAGCTGTCTCCTTCCGATGAGCGTAACCTTGGAGAAGATGTTGCGCTCCAGCAGCTCTCGAAGCAACAGTCTGCCCGTTTCCCCAGAGGCTCCCAGGATGAAACAGCTTTTATTCTGCTGCCTGAAGTTTTCCTCCAGGGTCTTCATGTCCTCAGCCATGCTGTGTGCCAAAACAGAACGACTGCTCTGTTAGCACCATGTTTAAGTTCAGGTAATGTCCCAAAAAAATGTATTTTATGTAGGCAGTGTGTGCAAACATTAAAAACATGCTGTGCAAACACGGTTTACTTTACTGGCATACGTTTCCACATACTCATCTGGGAATATAAACCATTGTGCAGTTAGATGCACTGACTCCAATTGTATAGTTTCATGTCAAGACAGACTAGTTTAGTGTTAATACAGAATCAATTTTCTTCTGTCAGAAGTTAAGATTATTGTTGACACTGGTGGACGGCAGTAATCGAGTTTATTAATATTAAAAACTGGCATATAGTCGATGCACTTGATGCCGAATTTATAAGAAGATGCATATAATTCAAAATCCAGTTCCCGTTTTGTTTTACAAGGTGAGTGTATTCTCTAAAAAGAAAGGGAACTTTAAATTGACGGATTTCTTAATGGGGTTTGGCTTCTTGACGTTTGCTATGTGATTACCCAGGGAGACCCAAGGGAGAAACGTTCCTCTGTTAACGTTAAATAAAATCCTACCTTCTCTCTGACATTTGCTAACATTACACATTACCATTATGTAGTCATTTGGCTACGTTTCATGTTAGTTTAGCTGATGTTTGATCGGATTTAAGTTAACCTTTTGTATGTGCCGAGTCCAGCTGGCAGAGAAGCTAACATAAGACTTTACCTGGTGTATTTAACCGGATCAGGGTCGTCGAAGTAATGCAAAACCACCGCAAAGACAACAACTACGACGCTTAAGAGCCAGGTCGCCTTTCCCAGGGTGGTGTCCGGTAGTTTCACAAGAGACATTGCCTGCAGGAGCAATGGTTAGATTGCTGGGACACTTCCTGGTTGCTTCATCTTTCTGCTTCGTTGATAGGCTGAGGAGGAAACTAAAATATGGTCGTCACCGTCAGTATGTTGCTTGGTAGAGGGCACGAACTGACGGCTAACTGTATGTTTTATTTATTTGGGTTATATGATACAGAAAGGGAGACATGTTTGGACTTCAACAAGCCCCGTTCTCATCCTCGTTGATTGACACAGCGCATGCGCATTTGAAAATAAGGCCATACAATATTCCTATTAATCTTTCATCCACTCTGGTTCCTATACCGTTGGCCCATTACAACATAATCACAATAATGATAATGTCACTCACCACTAGTGTTCAGTGGCAGACTGCTGTCCCAAGTCCAGGTCGCAGCCCAAACCAGACCTCCAAAAAACCTCCCTTTCGTCCCCATGGCAGAGCTGCACTCCCAGCCTCTCCCAGGCTAAAAGGCAGGGGGACAATCAGATAATAGACAACTGGACAATTTTCTACTCGCATTTGGCACTGTCTTACTGTTCCATTCTATTCTATCTATCTACTCTACCGCGACTCGAGTCTATTCATCTATTCCGTATCTGTCTAATCTATCTAGTCAACTATCTAATCTAACCTAATACTATCTAATAATGAAAGTCTCCTCTTTCAGGTAAATCTGTCCCAGTCATTCACTTAGACTGGGGCTCAATAATGTGTTTGACTATGACATGTGTATGTGTATGTGTAAAATCGTGAAGTGGCCTTTTAAAATGTATTAAACTATTACCACCTTTGTTAGGGATAAAAACACTGCTAGCCTCGTGCCTTTTTGCCCTTAGGACAGCCTGTTTTTATTGTGGAAAGGTATAGAATTTAAAGCCTCCATCCATCCTGCCCAAGATATCAGAGTAGAGACCATGTCAGTCATTAAGCTTCTTTATGCTCATTCGCTTATAGAGAAGTTACTCAGGTCGATTTTAGTTAAGTGAAAACTAGCACCAGAATATACTTACAGTGCCAAAAGTCAAATGACTCATTATGCAGAATGGCCCATTTCAGAGTAATGTATATCATATTATTGGATTATATTTTTTGATTTGCTACATCATTTTAATATTGCAACTAAGATGGAATTTCATTTTGATTACTTTATATATTCTCTACTGCTGGATAGTTTGTGCATTTCCCACTGGGCATCAATAAAGTCTAATCTTAACGTATAATGTATATTAGTGTATTTGTTGATTGTATTTGTATTAATATTGTGAATCTGCAAAGTAACTAGAAACTAAAGTCATCAAATAAATGTAGTGGTGTACAGTATCTGCCTCAGAATCTGAAATTTGTAACAGTACTTGAGTAAATGTAGGCTACGTAGTTACGTTCCACCACTGAAGTTACCCAAGATTAAAATTTCTAAAGCACTTTTATTCCATTTCTATTGTGCTGGCATGGCAATGGGAATGATGAATCAGGGCAGTGTTAAAAAGCAGCATTCCCATTGCCTTTACAGCAGACTGATCTGCACTCATGAGGGCTTTATTTCAAAAAGGGAGTGAGGTGGCTCAACTAAAGCTTTAAAATCTATTTGCAGTTTTAGTTTATTGGTTAACAACTGCAGAGAACTTAACCTTTCACAAATTAAACTCATAATGAAAGGGATTTTTAGTGCTAACCTCAAACTCTGCTTATGTAGCAGAAAAAAAGCCTGTAGCTCTAACCTAGGTTATGCCTAAGACTGTATGTCAAGAGTTTGTCCTCCTTCTTTTTAAGTTGCAGCATGTGTAGACAGACCGATCTAAACAACACCCAGGTTAAAACACAAACATTTTGCATCATTTCTTTCTTTCTTGGGTGATTCAAACACAAAACTATGAGCCTCAAAATACATTTAAAACTCAGGCAATGCTATAATCATGAATAAAAAAGGTGAAAAGGTGTTGAAGAGTAGCTATGATGTTGAATATGTCTCAGTTAATAGCTGTGCAGGAGAGGCTCTTGCAGTCATGAGGAAGAGGAAGAGAAAGACTCCCCAGATAATTATTGTTTCTCATTGTGTAAAAATCACAATGAAAGGGTTATTTTAGGATACAATAGATCTTTTCTTTCCAAATAAGTTAAAGTTTCTGTGATGGCAGCATTTCGTGCACACTGTGTCATTTGGTCAGGAAATCCAGCCCAAACACAAAGTGCTAGCCAAACACTGAAAAATGTCTTTGCCTTTTGTCAGACCTTCAGGGGGTTTCATTAGCCAAAACCTGCACACAAAGAAAGCAAGTCCAGTCACATGCAATGAATTCATCAACACCCCATGTTTTTAACACCCCTGCCACTTCGAACACAAGGCATCGACCCAATTTAATAGAATATGATGGAGCCAGGGATGATCCTTTAAAGATGTCAGCAGTAAGAGACAGAAAGAAAAGAGGCTGAGGTTGAGAGAAGAGGCCTTAAACTGGCACTCTGCTGAAATGAAATGTCGCCTCTTTGTTCCTTAGCCGCGGGTGCTAATTGGGCCTAACTGCGGGGAGGAAAGCTGCTGCTGGGCTCCTGTCTGTCGCACCTGTTGAGTCATTGTCTCTCGCATTGATCAGACAGGAAGTTGAAGTAAGAAGGCTTATGCCTCAGTGGGTGCGTGGCAGAAACGTGGTTCAATTTCCTTTTAGAGCTCCGCCGCTGGAGGTGGAAATACCAATGGTGGTCAGTGGTCAATTGCGCTCGTCCATTGATTAGGTTGCACTAAAGGACATATGGATCATAAAGAGTTGGTTTTCATTGGCTTTTTCACATTCTTTATATCTCAATCACAGCGCATCCTGTATTTTCTAAACATTGCATAATATGTTTGATGTCTCTGTCACTGCTGTTCTGCCACACTTCACCTGAAGTCAGACAGAATTATCTTACAGGATAGTGGATGTGAAATAATGGCTCATACTGGCACTGTATGTACCATACATTATAAAAGCATTGGGGTCTTTCTTTGAAGTTGATATCAGTGCTGTTCAGTGTTTTCCCACCTGTAAAGGCAAATACTGATGTGTGTTTTTGTAAGACTTTTACTGCAGATGCAGGTGAAATACAGGTAGACCAAAACTGATAATGCTCTTTAAATCTGTTACTGCCTAATGCCCGTAGTATGATAATATATTAAGGCATTTGCTAATATTAATCCCTGATTTGCACCTGATTGGAGATCTTGGATTGACACGTTCACAACATTTGTCTCTAAATTGGAATTAAAACAAATTATGACTGCAAAACTCCTTATTTCTTCTTTCTTAAATGTGCGTACAACTGCTTCCAAGTTCCACCAGTTCTGTGTTCTTATTGTTTTTTGTGCCAATTGTAGAGCAGCTTTTACATGAAGTTAAACTGAAGAATAAAAGTGTGTAGAAGAGAGTGTAACCAAAGATGAAGTTCAAATGTCTGAACTGTGTCGTCTCTAAAGTCTAGTTGGCCAGCAACGTTTTCAGGCAGCCGTTGAGACCGCTCTGATTATGTGTTAATTGATTACATTTGGTTGCACCCTCTGGTATTACACAAAAATTAGCACATTCAGGCGTCACAATTGATCAGATTTATCAAGTTTTCATTTTTAGCTTCATGACTTATGACACATAAGTCGATATATTGATTTCCTTGACGTAGATGTTGGCATTTTGTTGATATATTAATGACTCATATGACAGAAGGATACATAAACATATCTTAAGACATTTATTAATGTGATTATTTCTAAATGAAACACACATGTATACATGCATGCCTACGTATCACACACAAACACAGATGCACAGACACACACACACACACGATGCTGTACACAAACACAGCTTAAGGCTTAGCACCCCGGTTCCACAGACTCTGGAGTGTGATGCTAATGATGGAAATTAATGGAGCCTGACAGCACAATCTGCTGCCCATTGTCTCCCAATAAACAGCTTTACAGTCCACATGAGCCACAGAGGGGACGGGAGGTTTAAGCTGAGAGCGGAGGCAGTGAGAGCAGGAGACAGGCTGGGTGGAGGGTCAGATCTCAGGGGACAGCGCTGATCCTGAAGTGGGGATTAGCTCAATTAGAGAGGCACTGTCTGATCAAGATGCAGGCTTCGGTGGTACCTATGATGTGTGTGTGTGTGTGTGTGTGTGTGTGTGTGTTATGAGGGAAGCCTGCATTATTAGAGCCGACTGTTGCCATTATTTGTTGCTGTGTCAGCTGGTGTGAACAATAGTCAAGATGATGCCTTTTGCTTTCCTGTGACCCTCTGCTCAGATATCCATTTATTGTCATACGTTTCAATGGTAATTAATCTCCAATGTGTTTTTATTGTCCAAATGATAACAGTTCCATGAATATTTCAGTGTGCTTCAAGTCAGCTTGTTTTTATCAGTAAAAAAGCACCTTCAAGCTTTAAGTTTTAGCATGTTAAAGGTCCAGTGTGTAACATTTAGGAAGATCTATTGGCAGAAATGGAATACATAATTATGTTTTCATTAGTGTTTAATCACCCGAATATAAGAATTGTCTTGTTTCTGTTACCTTAGAATGAGCCTTTTATCTACAGACGCTGCAGGTCAACTTCCATGGAGTCCGTCATGTTGAACCACCATGTTTTTACAAGTTTTCGATCTGTAACTACACTGCTAGATGCCACTAAATCCTACACACTGGACCTATACAGACATATTCACCATTTTTTTTTAGCGTTAGACAGTTACAGTTAGGGTATGTAGTGTTTGGTATAAGTTAATGTGTTTACTTCAATGAAGTGTTGGAACAAATAGATACCTGTTTTTTTTTTAATATGAACATAAAAATGTCTTTATTTTCTTCTGTAAAAAGACACAGATTCCTGAAGTTTACAGTAAATGAGGTGCTCTTTTAATGAACATTGGCTTTTCTAAATATTAAATAAAAATTGCAGTGTATATATAGTAGGATAAAGTATGATAAGAGGCAGCTGTTTCTAAATTTAAAGGAACCTCAAAGGGTATATCATAAGTCTGAGGGGTTAAAAAGGCCATACCAGCTGCCAGATCCTGTGATCAGCTGTGAAAAAAGTGGTACAATAAAGTAACTCCACAGTAGGACAGAGGCTCAGAGTCTTCCTCAGGCTTGGCTTTGTTACAGGCTCAGACTTGAGGCTCAGAC